AATCCATTTTTTTTCATATGATTAAAAGCACATTTTAAAATTACTTTCTGTGCCACTGAAAGACTTAACATTGCCAACTGAAACTATTACTGAACAAATACACAAGTGATTAAACATGTTCATTTTTCATCCCTCTGATGTCATTTAATTAAACCGTTCTCACTTGTTTTTTTTTTTGTAATCAGGAAACAAAAGAAAAACATCTTTCTGGCTTTATGCCCTTATTCTAGATCCATCTCTAATATGTTCTAACTTCACCAGTATTCACTAGTTGGATGATTTTTAGTAATTCACTTCCTTTCTGTGGGCCACAGGTTTTCCACACTTCAAGTTCCAATACTCCATTATTCTATTTTAAAATGTTCAGCAAAATTTAAAAAAGTTAAACTTTTTTTCCCTGTGTGAGCATCTATTAATACAGAATTGTTCTTAACAATAATTTTTAAATGAATTCTTGCATGTTCTGGTTATGTCCCATTTTCCTCATCTGTAAAATGGTGATAATAATAGCATGTACCTCCCAGGCTTCTTGTGAGGATCCAATGAGATAATACTTGTAAAGTGTTTGCCACAGTACCTAGTAGCACATAGTAGGAAATAGAAATGTTAGCTATATTCTTGTCTTTCACCTATCTTGGACAAGCAATTTAAGAAAGGAAATAATAAATTCTAAAAGACAGTTGTAAACAATTTATAATATTTATATTTATTAGCTCATATTATTTATCATTTTATCAAAGATAATAGCTGATTGCTATAGTTAAAATTAAAAAGCAGGGCACTTGATTTGTAGGACAGGAAGATGGAAGCTATTGCCAATATTCCTTTAGAGAATTCACACTTTAAGAGCAGAAAATATTTAAACAAGATACAGAAATATGGAAAGCCAGACTTAAAATAATTTTGCATTTAGTTGATAGAGCATTCCTTTATAGTAAGTCAGCTGACTTTAATTGTGTGATTTGGATGGAAGGAGATCAAGGGAGCAAGGTCACAATGGCAGATCAGAGCAGCTCTCAAGAATATAGCTACCTGGGGGGCAGCTGGTTTGCTCAGTGGATAGAGTACCGGCCCTGAAGTCAGGAGGACCTGAGTTCAAATCCAGTCCCAGAACAAACACTTGACACTTACTAGCTGTGTGACCCTGGGAAATCACTTAACCCCAATTGCCTATAATAATAATAATAATAATAATAATAATAATAATAATAATAATAATAATATAGGTACCTGGGTGGCTTTCTGTAAGTCTGCTTTTGTTACCAAATATCACACATGTTCCTAGAGAAAACCTCATTAATTGGGCTCTGCTGTTAAGTGTCTGAGGTCTTATACACAAAATGCTTCAAAAGCCTGAGCAGTAATGTTTCTGTCTTACAGAGCTAGATATAGCTTCATCTTTAACATTTTCTGAAACCTTCCCTGATATTTAATGCATGTTCATGCCGTATGTCCCATGCTTCTAGTAATCAATAGTAGTAGAATCCTAACAGCATCAACATATTGGCAGGAACTGATCATTGAACGCCAAATGAACCCAACCAATAGTATTGGGGAAAAGTTGGGACAGTCTCGAAAAAAAGAAAAAAAAAGTGGGATCAGAAGATGGTGAAATAAAAACCATGAAGCAAAGAGTTCAATACCTGATGCCTGACCAAAGTGAAAGTTGAGATAAGAAAAAAAAAAGTAGATGAAAGTTGGATTTCTTTTCAAAACATACTTTTTTTAGGTGATTGACATCAGTTCTTTAATTTCAAATCACACAAGCACATAATCTGAGTAGCATTAAAAATTTGAGAAAAGTTGAGAATGCCTCAGAGAAATACAGAAAATTTCAGAATAAGTCCCACTTCAACATCTCTAGCACTACAATTAGAGCAACCATGTACCTTGTGGTGTTGGTTAGTAATTAAGCTGGCAGAAATGTGTTGCAAAAAACTGAGGACCTCAATTTTAGTAAGTACTGAGAGCAAAAGAACCTGTGGAGATTAAGCTATATTTGCATTTCTTCCAGTGCCAGGTAACTACTTAATGATATATCTCCATTTTAAAGGAGAAGTTAGAGGGTTTACAGTGATGTTTCCCTCTGCTCTAGCTAATAAGGAGAATAACATTTCCTGAAAAAAGATACAGAGTGCTTCAAAAATAGGGTGTTTTGGTTATGGAGGAGGGTGAATCCTAAGAGTCTGTAGGGAATTTATTTCAGTTGAGTTTGGAGGATGGAAGGACATGATGCAGAAGAAGGGAAGAACAAACACTAAACTATGACCATTACAACCATGGAGAAGCTGTCAAATACTTCTCACAGAGATTAAAGCTAAAACTTACAAGAAGATATCAGATTAATTTCCTCCTTATTCATTCATTCATGCTTTGCTATAAGAATTAGTGAATTTTCACAGGCAATACAATGATCTATCCACATCCAGAGAAAGAACTATGGAATCTGAAGGTAGATTGATGCATACTATTTTCTTTTTTTTTTTCTTGTGATTTTTCTCTTTTGTTCTGATTCTTATTTCACCACATGACTAATGTGGAAATATGTTTAATATGATTCTACATGTATAGCCTATATCAGATTGCATGGTGTCTTGGGGAAGGGTAGTATAATGAGGAAGAAAAAGAAAATTTGAATTCAAAATCATATAACATTGAATGTTGAAAAATAAAATTAGTTAAATAAATAAAAATAAAAGATTGTGATCAGAGTTAAAAAAACTGCAGAGAAATAGTGGAGCCTAGGTTTAAAGTGAAGTTGACCTTTATCTTTCTTAAAATGATTCAGAGGGTTTCTTAAGTACTGAAAAAGGGAAGCAATTTTTTTTGTCTGCTTGCTTTTTTGTAAAGGAAAAAGAAAAGTTTGGGGACTGCCACCACAAAGATTTTAACATGAACTAACAGGGGACCATGAAAGTTGAAATGCTGACAACTAATAGCCCTCAGAGGGAAAAAATGAGATTTTGAATTTGTGATTGTAAATCCTGACTTAATTTGGTTGAGTTTTATTTTGTTAGTAAATTGTAATATGCTATCTTTAACGATGAAGTGCATTATCTTATTGAGGTATTTGTGTTAAATCAGAACTTAACAAAAATCACTTTTCTTATTCAGAATTAAAGGCTTCTGCTGGAAAGTGCATGAATTGGGAAAATTGGAGTTAAAATTCTATCTCAGAAATGTATTAGCTTTATGACCTTGAGCAAGTTATCTCATATCTGTTTACCTCAGTTTACTAATCAATGAAGGGGATAATAATATTTATTACCCAATTCCCAGTGTTTTTGTGAAAATCAAATTATATAATGATGTGAAGTGCTCAGTACAGTGCCTGACTTGTGCTAAGCACTATGTTAATGTTAATTGTTATTTCCATCATTAATTGAATGTAGTAAATCCATACTACATAACTCTATGCTAGATTTTAGAGATGATTACTATAAATGGTGAAAGTGATAAGATGAATGATTTTCTACGTAAGATAATTAGGAAAGGTATTCAACTAAATTGATATGACTTTACTGGTAATAATTTTGTTTCGTGTTTTAATACATACTTATATTGCCAAACTTGATAGCATTAACATTGTTAGAGAAAAAAATAACTTCTCTTGTAATCTAGATGCGATTACTATCCAGTATCGTATTACTATAAATTTAGCTGTAAAAGAGTTACTCGAAAGTTGTTAAATATTTCTTAGGTAAATTTTACTTTTAAAGGATTATAATAATAACTTCAATGATCTAAGTCCTCTTTTTTTAAATCTGTTAAGTTTTTAGAGATTTGCTAATTAGGCACAGTTATAAGATTTTATGAGCTCTGCTATTGATATGTTGTAAGATTCAGAAGTACTCAAATTGATAAATAGTACTGGGGCTGGAATCTCACCAACCTTCAGTGCTTCAGAATTTAGAACCACACACCCAGTAATAATAGTGAAAGTTTACAAATTTGCTTGCATAAAAAGTAACTCATCTAAATTCACCTAGCTGTATTAAAATCACATCTTAACTTGGTAGCAAAATCTCTAACCTCATAGTACTCAACAATCTTCTGGAGGTTCTGGAGTCAATTATCATGTGTTTGCTGTTTTGAGGTCAATAAACCTCTAGTTTCTTTGACCAAAAACCAGGTTCTGAGTGCCTGCAGCATGAGCCAACACCTTGTTGCCCTTGCAGAACTTAAAAAATCCTTACTAGCATTAATGATTAGCCTTCTTGACTATAGTAAGCCTTTTACTTTATTAACAAAAGGAAGCCACCTCCAGCTTCCAGTATTTTGACCCAGCCATCTAGTCCCTGCATTCATCCAATGGCTTACTCCTTTGGCCTCCTTGACTCTGTTACTGCAGGGGTTTATTGCATACCCTGTAAAACTCTATTATGTGATGTGGTTATTTTTAATTTTTAAACGGTTAATTTCTGCTCCAGGAAAGATTTAAACTAGTAAGACTTATATGTTGGGGCACAGCCAAGATGGCAGAGTGAAAGGAGTGACTTGCTTGAGCTCTCCCCCAAACCCCTACAAATACCTGTAAAAAATTACTCCAAATAAATTCTACAGCAGCAGAATCCACAAAAAGACAGAGTGATACAAATTTCTAGCTGAGGACAACCTGGATGGTAGATCTGAAATGTCTGTTGTACTGGGCTGGAAGAGAAGCTCTTCAGCAGGAGACCTGCAGGTAAAGACAGGGTCCTGGCAAACCCAGAACAGGCCTTAGGGGACTGAATCATGGGTAGCTGAGGCAGTCTCCAGACTTTCAACCCACAAACACCAAAGACAACTTAGAAGTCAGTGGGAAAGGTCTATTGGACCTGTGTGAGAGAGAAGCCTGGTCCAGCCCTGGCCCTAGTGCACAGGGTGATGCCCATATCACAGCTTCTGCTTCTGGAGATCTTGGCCAATGGACTATGAGGGGATAGATCAGCTGATCAGAGTGGTATTGCACTCTTTTGGCACTGAGGCAGGATTTTCTTGCTTTGCCCATGCTTGGCATCATGGTCGCAGTTCTGGGTGGCAGCCCTGAGGTGAGGAAGAGAGCTGGCATGGCTGAACTTGTGGCAGCAGTACAGAGAGAATCCTCCTTACAGTTCCAAGGAAGAATAGAACTCTTGTGGTCACTCATAAACAAGAGCTCAGTCCAGGAAAGGAATAAACATCTATCCTTTGGTCATACTACCCTGGAAAAAACTGAAAATTTACAGGTTCCTCTGAAATTTAGCTATCTCTGAAAACACCTACACAAAATCCCTGAAGTGTGGGACTATACACATTCCACACTGGAAGCAGAGGCCTACCTTAACGGGGTTAAAAAGTCAAGTAATTGGCTAGGAACATGAGCAAACAGAAAAAAAAAAAACAAAAAGAAAACCTCAGCCTATAGAATCTTACCTTGATGACAAAGAAGATCAAAATGTACAATAAGAAGAAGACAACAAAGTCAAATCTCCAACATTCAAAGCTTCCAAGGATAATATGGATTAGTCTTAAGCCAGGGAACAGCTCAAAAAATATTTTGAAAAGCAAGAAAGAGAAGTAGAGGAAAAACTGTGAAGAGAAATGAGAGTGATGCAAGAAAATCATGAAAAATAAGTCAACAGATTGCTAAAGGAGACCCAAAAAATACTGAAGAAAATAACACCTTAAAAAAATAGCCTAACCCAAAGGGCAAAAAAGGTCCACAAATTCAATGCAAAAAAGAATGCCTTAAAAAGGGGAATTGACCAAGTGGAAAAGGAGATTCAAAATTGCTCACTGAAGAAAATAATTCCTTAAAAATTGTAATGGAGCAAATGGAAGCTAATGACTCTATAAGAAATCAAGAAATTTTAAAACAAAACCAAAAGAATAAAAAAAAGAAGAAGAAGACAATGTGAAATATCTCATTGCAAAAACAACTGACCTGGGAAATAGATCCAGGAAAGATAATATAAAAATTATTGGACTACCTGAAAGCCATGATAAAAATAAAAGAGGTTAGATATCATATTTCAAGAAATTATCAAGGAAAACTGCCCTCATATTCTAGAACCAGAGGGGAAGATGGAAATTGAAACAATCCACCCATCACCTCCTGAAAGAGATCCCCAAAGGAAAACTCCTAGGAATATTATAGCCAAATTCCAAAGTTCCTAGGAGAAAATAGTATAAGCAATCAGAAAGAAACAATTCCACAAAAGTATTGTGGAAACACAATCAAGATAACATAAGATGTAGCAGCTTCTACATTAAGGGATCAGATGCCTGCTAATATGATATTCCAGAGGTCAAAGGAGCTAGGATTAAAACCAAGAATCACCTACCCAGAAAAACTGAGTATAATCCTTCAAGGGAAAAACAGATATTCAATGCAATAGAGAACTTTCAAGCATTCTTGATGAAAAGATCAGAGCTGAATAGAAAATTTGACTTTCAAATACAAGAGTCAAGAGAAACATTAAAAGGTAAGCAGGAGAGAGAAGTCATAAGGGACTTATTAAAGTTGAACTGTTTACATTCCTATATGGAAAGATGATATTTGTAACTCATGAGACCTTTCTCAGTATTAGGGTAGTTAGAAGGAATACATAAATATACATATACATATACATATACATATACATATACATATACATATACATATACATATACATATACATATACATATACATATACATATACATATACATATACATATACATATACATATACATATACATATACATATACATATACATATACATATACATATACATATACATATACATATACATATACATATACATTACATATGTATGTATATGTGTGTGTATGTGTTTGTGTGTGTGTGTATATGTATATGTATGTATACATAGGCAAAGGGCACAGGGTGAGTTGAACATGAAGGCATGACATCTAAAAATTAAATTAAGGGATAAGAGAGGATTGTACTGGGAGAAGAAAGGGAGAGGTAGAATGGCATAAATTATCTCACATAAAAGAGGCAAGAAAAAGCTTTTACACTAAGAAAGGGAAAAGTGAGAGGCAATGAATGAATTTTACTCTCATTGAATTTGGCTTAAGGAAGGAATAACATACACATTCAGTTGAGTATGAAAAACTATCTTGCCCTACGGGAACATAATGGGGGAAGAGGACAAGAGATGAAGGGAATGATAGAGCAGTGGGCAGATTAGGGGAGGAGGTAATCAGAAACAAACACTTTTGAGGAGGGACAGAGTCAAAAAAGAGAATAAAATAAATGGGAGGTGAGATAGGAAATGTAATTAATCTTTCACAACATGACTATTAATGAAGTATTTTGCATGACTACACATCTATAACTTATACTGAATTGCTTGCCTTCTCAGTGAGGGTAGGTGGGGAGGGAAGAAGGGAGTGAATTTGGAATTCAAAGTTTTAAAAATGAATGTTAAAAACTGTTATTACATGTAACTGGGAAATAATATATACAGGCAATGGGGTATAGAAATCTATCCTGCCCTACAGGAAAATAGAAGGGGAAGGGGATAAGGGAAGAGGTAGTGATAAAAGGGAGTGAAGATTGGGGAAAAGGCTATTCAGAATGCATGCCATCTGGGGTGTGGGAAAGGGAGAGATGGAAAGAAAACCTGGAACCCAAAATCTTGTGGAAGTGAATGTTGAAAACTAAAAATTAACTAATTAATTTAAAAAGCTACAATGTAAGAGAGACATTAAAATTCTGCTAAAATCGGTAGCTGTAATGCAAAACAAAACATAAGATTAAAATGGCTGCACTAATCATTGAAAAGATAGCTAGATGGTGGACTGGATAGAGCACTCGAACTGTAATTGGGAATCCTCATCTTCTTGAGTTCAATCTGGCTTCCTCATCTTCTTGAGTTCAATCTGGCTTCAGACACTTATTAGCTGTGTGACTTTGGCAAGTCACTAAACCCATTTTCTCTCAGTTTCTTTTTTATAAAATGAGCTGGAGAAGGAAATGGCAAATCACTCCACTATCTTTGCCAAAAGCAAAAGAAAGGAAAACACAAATAGGATCATGAAAAGTTAAACACAACTGAAAGGACCAATCAACTATCAGATGAAACAAGTTGTCAGCCAATATAGTGCTGCATATGAATCATGCTATTAGGTCCTATGATTGCTTTATATTGGCCTCAAAATTTTATTCATAATCTTCTAGGAGGCAAATTATTTTGCCTCTGATCTTCTAATATAAGGTTTTACTTTGTTTTTCTTACTCTTATATAACAAAATGTTCAATATTTTAGCACTTCAAAATATTTTCTCTCCATGAACTCTGTAATTTTCAACAGTTACCCTTACGGAAAGCTTGGGTTCCATTACATTTTGTAAGAACTATTGGTTTTTTTTTACTGTCACTTAAGTGTGGGCTGTCACAAACCTCTTAGTGCATGTTACAGCTTGAACAGCTGTATAGTTCTTGCTTTTGTTTTTTAGCTTGCTATACACAAGCTGGTTGCTGATGAATCTACTCTGTGAATCACTTTGTTCTATTAAACATTGAACAGTTTAATTCAAGTTCTGAAAGGAACTTAGAAATCTAGCCGAACATATTTGGATGTCTTGGGCTCTAGTTTCTAGAAATGATATTATTAGACAATCAAGGAGAAATGTCAGTTTATTTTCTTCTTCCCAAGTGATATAAAAAGGTAGAAAAGTTAAGTACTTCAGGGTAATTTCATCTGACTCATCTTAAGTCTTGATTATTAAAAAAAAAAAAGTAAGAAGAAAAAGTAGTGTTCCTGTGCTACTAGTAGACATTCCCAACTATATCTTAGTCTGAAAGTTGCTAACTTAATAAGGTAAAAGCAAAAATTCTATTACACCTCTTTTTTATGACATCATTTTAAGTAGAGTAACACCTTGCTAAATCCATGCATTAGTTGCCATGATAATATATTCAAAGAAAGCTAATAGGGCTAGGCTCCCATAGATAAATGAGTGTGAAATTACCTTCCATTAGTAAATAAAAAACATTTCAATTTTTATTTCTTGTGGTTATTCCCTTTGTTCTGATTCTTCTTCCAGAATCTAACTAATGTGGAAATAAGTTTAACATGCATAAGCTACATCAGATTGCTTGCTGTTCTGGGGAAGGTGAAGGGAGGGAAGGAGAAAAACACACATATCCATATAAAATACATGCACATATACATATATGTATATATGTGTGTGTATATGTGTATAGATATATATATATGTATGTATATATATATATACATATATACAGAGAGATAATTATGTGTATAATTTTGAATTTTACTTATATACTTGTTCTTAGTTTGATGAAGAGATACAGCATTTATATGCAGCTGTATAATTAAATAATTACCAAAACAATTGCAATCAACTCTGTTAGTAATAAAGGGCAGAAGTCACATATATAATCTCAAAATTACAGATACACCAAATTATTACCATTCAGATTTGCTTCAGAATGTAAGTAGAAATTAAAGATTATAAATGCTTTGTAAACATAAAGTCGTATTTATAATTATATTTTACAATATTCATAACTAGACTTATATTTTGCATGCAGAACATAATATATATGTATTCACACACCCATAAATATATGTATATATATTTAAATTAGCAAAAATTTGTCTTGTTTCTTTCCCATTCTTTCACTGCAATTGAGAATTAAAGAAAAATAAAACCTATTAACAAACATCAATCAAAACTGATTTCCACATTGGCCATTTCCAAAGTATATGTGTGTATGCATATATACATGCATGCACACACACACACACACACACACACATACACACACACACACACATATTCATTTTGCACCTTTAGTCCTTCACCATTCTATAAGAAGGTAGATAGTGTTACTCATAATTAGTCATTTTTAAGAGTGGTCATTATGCTGATAAGAGTTTCTAAATCTCTGAAAGTTGTTTTTCTTTATGATGTTGTTGCCATTGTATGAAATTTTCTCTTCATCTTCTTCATTCACTCTGCATCAGTTCATACAAAATCTTTCTATGTATTTCTGATGTCACCTTCACTATTTTTTACAGCACAAAATTAT